ATGTATATATATTTCTGATATATCTCTGCCACCACCACTATATTGCCCGATCTTTCTTAATCCACTGCCACATGGTGTCGTTATTAACTTATTAACACCACTAATAACAGAGCTGGCCCGACTAACAGTGCTGTTATCGATAACAATTCATTGCCTTCACCACTAACTACACCGATATGTCAATGACGTTTCGACGAGAAACTGGAACCCAATGTTATGTGTCCTTTTTGCGATTCCTTATTTAACGTTTAACGCATTGCTTCCAGAACAGTTCGATTTTCAAGATATTAAAATTTCATGTGGATAAATTAGAAATGAAAACACGTTTTCATGTCTAATGACAATTTGTAATTTCGTTCAAAGTGACACCAGCGAAGTAAATTCTGGCTTCTTGGATGTGTTAAAAAAAAAAAGGAAAAGTTCAAAGATTAAAAACCTAATCGACAGGACGGTGTCAATTCCTCGGGGGAAGAAAAGACGTCGACGGAAAATCTTATCGGCAGTTGGATTATTAATAAATGAGAAAGTTATTCCAGTGATTTAGAATGGGATTCGTAAAGAGGTCGCCCTGAATTTCTGAATATTTTGTAAAAAAAGGAAAAAAAAAATGGAATACGGTTGCGAGACTTGTATAATCTGTGATAACCCGTTGATAAGATGGGATTTTGTCAACTGATAACGATCTTGTTCCGGTTTCTTATCAAACGTCGACCCCCACCCGCCCTGGACCCATCCTCTCCCGGACGATCCAGCTGCGATAACGAGCGTTCCGTTATCAGGATTACTTCCTAATCAGAGGCGACATTAATCCCGATTTGAGGAAACTAAATCGGAGCCAGAGAATCGCTCGATAATATCTTTCTATCTCTCTGTTATCTCGGAGGCTGACTCGCGGTCCATTATTTTAATCTCTCCTAATCGATGTTATCATTCATATCGAAGTTATCGGTTTAATAGGCAGAAGAGAGCGCTTCGCTGGAAAAGGAGCGTGCACTTATTCGCGCCTCGATCTTCCTTTTCTAGATCCTGGTCCACGTAGATCTTCGAGGATCCTCTTAAACGCCTCGGGAAATAAAGGAGAGAATTAAAAAAAAAAAAGAAAAAAAGTGGAAATAAACGCGTACAGTAATAAAAAGAATATATATATATATATTCTTTTACATATACGTTATTTTATATATCTTATATATATATGGACGATGGACTTATATATATATGTTTGATATATTCGAAATCCCGAATGGCCGTCGAGAGGATCGCCGAAAAGTGTGCAAAACGAAAGGGGGCTCGGTGAGAAATCATTATATGATATGATATGGTAATTATAATTTTATTCGAGGATTACGTTTATTAACGAGAAAGAGGAAGGGTAACTCTTTCGTTTTGCTCGCCGGTTCGTCTCTCTTTACACGCACATACGCAGAAGGTACACTCCAATGCGTGAACATACCACCCGGTCTCTTATCTATCTCTTTCTTCCACTCTCTATCTATCTCTCTCTCTCTCTATCTCTTTCTGTCTCTCTCTTCCGCTGTTTTCCATACTTGAGCGGAAACAGTAACGTCTTATTCTGCCGCTGAACAGAACAATTGGACCGCATCGAGGAGGGAATGGACCAGATCAACGCCGACATGCGAGAAGCTGAGAAAAATCTCACGGGCATGGAGAAGTGCTGCGGCCTCTGCGTTTTACCATGTAACAAGTATGCACTGAACAGAGTAACCCAGAATTGTTATCGTGACCACTGATTACCTCGCGATATTGAATTTTTCCGCGCAACGAGCGAAGCGATTTTTTTTCCCCCTTTTTCGTTTTCATAGAGCAGACTCTTTGTCGCCACGGACATGGATAGAAAAAATATGAATACGTTACGGAAAATAGTTAAAGTGTTCCATTCATATTTTTTCTATCCATTATATCTTTCTATTAACAATGTAACATTTTTCTATCCATTTGATAATATCTTTCTGACACGTTTTATCGAAACCCTGGTGTAGTATCGGGATGGCCCATTCTCAAAATAGTTAAAGAAGTGTTCCATTCATATTTTTTCTATCCATTATATCTTTCTATTGTCAATGTAACATTTTTCTATCCATTATATCTTTCTATTAACAATGTAACATTTTTCTATCGATTTTATAATATCTTTCTGACACGTTTTATCGAAACCCTGGTGTAGTATCGGGATGGCCCATTCTCAAAATAGTTAAAGAAGTGTTCCATTCATATTTTTTCTATCCATTATACCTTTCTATTAACAATATAACATTTTTCTATCAATTTAATAATATCTTTCTGACACGTTTTATCGAAACCCTGGTGTAGTATCGGATTGGCCGATTCTCCCTTCCGATACTAAATTCCCAATTTCACGGCAATCTTGTGCACCTTGAGTGTTGAAATTTCCTGATTATGGCTAATGATTGTTGTCTTAACAACGTAATTGCCGGGTATATCGCAGGGGAGCCAGCTTCAAGGAGGACGAGGGAACGTGGAGGGGAAACGACGACGGGAAAGTCGTTAACAATCAGCCACAACGTGTGATGGACGACCGTAATGGACTGGGTCCCCAGGGTGGATACATCGCGAAGATCACGAACGACGCCAGGGAGACGGAGATGGAGGAGAACATGGGCCAGGTTAACACCATGATCGGGAACCTGAGGAACATGGCCATCGACATGGGCAGCGAGCTGGAGAACCAGAACCGGCAGATCGACAGGATCAACCGCAAGGTGGGAATCCCCGGGGATGAATTTAATAATATTCATGGATTGTGCCCATAATTATGAAAGTGGTCTAAGTCAAAATTAAAAAAAAAAAAAAATGAGTTTATCAGTTATTTCACGCCATATTATTTCAAACGAAATTAATTCAATGTAATTCAAACAAAAAAGATATGACTTAGACCACTTTCATAATTATGGGCACAGTTATCGAATTAACGAGTTGTCCAATTAACGAATTCATTACCACCAGGGCGAGTCGAACGAGACGAGGATACAGGTGGCCAACGAGCGAGCGCACCAGCTGCTCAAGTAAACCGGCGAAGCTCGCCGAGCGATCAGCTGATTGCAGGTCGCACGCATCTCCACTATCTACACGGTGTCGTCCCTTCTTATCGCCCAGAATCTTATTACGCATTGTTATTGTTATAATTACTATAATTATTGTAATTGTCTTATCGTTATCGCCGTTGCGGGCGCGTGTCGGGGTTGGCGACACCCTGGGGTGCGGCGAATCCCGACACCGGGGCAAAACTAGCGTTAGGGCGTTATCGCCGATAATCGCCGTTACTGTATCACCATGATTGCAGCTCAGTTATTTGCCTAATCGCTAAGTAGCTAGTGCAAGGCCCGATTGAATTTAAAGCCGCGTGCACGCTCTGGAATCCTTGCTAGAGTCGCTCCTGCGCGGCGGCGATCGACACTCTGTGATATATGTATATTATACGTATGATATACGTATATAATGGGTATTATCCCGTGTCTCGATCCCGCCGGACAGAGGGCAAGCGTCGCTGATATCCGCACTAATTGGAAAGCTGATACCCCGTCGTTATGATTCGTTAGAAAAAAAAAAAAAGAGAAGAAAAATATGGAAAACTAGGAATTATCTGTCCAGTTAGTACGGAAATCAGTGGCGAGCGTACAACGAAGTCGAGGAGGGAGAAGTCGGACTCGAAAGTCGAGGATTAAGAATCACCACGTGCCCTTGGGAAAGGAGGAAAAAAATAAAATAGGGGGATCTTCGGCACCCGGGCCGAAGAGGAGCGCGGCCGTTCGTTGAAACTCTTCAGCCTCTTCCGAATCTCTCTTCCCTTTCGCGACCCGATTGCGATAGATCCGGTCCTAGTCAATATCGATACTTCCCTGCGGCTTCTTGCCAAGATACCCACCCGGCATCCTCCGAGAAACGGCAGGGGAAAGTCCGAAAAAGAATTTTCTAACGCTCGCCAGGAAGCTCCTTGCACCTGACACTTTGCTTGACACTAACAGATTTGCTAATTCGCGCGGGGCTTGCTCACCTCGGAATGGTAAATCGCGATTTTTCAAGTAGGTTTAAAGGTCTCCTTCGAATTGCATCTCCTCGCAGCGCCGATTTGGGCGTCCATTTCGAGAGCGACAAGCCTCGCGAGAGGCGAAGAGAAGAGACGAAGACCTGTAACAAGAGGTGCGAAATGGCGCATAAGCGGCGTCTCTTAAGGGGATGTGGAATCGTCAAAGAGGTCTCATTAATGAAACCTCTCCAAGCTGGGTGTACCGAATCGTTTGAAGCTTTACAAGGTGAACATCGAGGCTGTAAGGAAGGTCCCGACGCCCATGAATCTCAAGGTTTTCTAATTTAGTCATAGATACTCAAACGATTTTTTTTCATTTTTTTTTTTATTATAAAAAATGAAATTTCACGAGTGTCAGGACCTTCCTTACAGCCTCCATGTTCACGGTGCAAAGTTTCAGGCGATTTGGCACACCCAGTCCGGAGATGTTTGGTAAATGGGACCTCTTTGACGCCGGTTTCGCATCGCCTTAAGGCAGTACCTGTTTCTCTCGTCATGTCGTTGCAGAATTGCATTTAGCAAGACGCTCCGAGCGGCTGGAAATAGATATCCATCACGAATGACGAGCCAGTCGGACCGTTTTGCTGCATCCAATTGTGCAACAATGCGACAATTGAAAGGCGGTAGATTTAGGCTGTACGCGATTATCGTTACGTTCCGTCAACTTGACCCATGTCACGTGTCGTATTCTTCACGGATATTCTATGGCCGCTTGCGTAGGATTTTATTATAAAGCTAGAGTAGCCGCGAGAGTACACGCGTACGGGTACTTACCTCAATACTCTTAAACGTTTGACACGCGATATGCGTAAGCGCGTGCGTGAAGTTGAAGAAAAAAGAAAAGAAAAAAAGAGCAAGGCCCGAGGGAAACGTCCTCGGCGTGCAGTAGTCCAAAGCGGATTTTTGGAGCGACAGAAATTTTTTATTCTAATCACTTGATTGATTACCAACGGATTTGGTACTCCCGTGAATACTATATTTAACTAATATCAAAACGTCAAGGTATATGTATAAAAGAAAAGTTCAGACGTAAGACCGCAAAACGTATGGGATTTTTGTCGACCTGGCAATCCACTTTGGACCACTGTCCGGTGCCTAGGTGATAACAGTATTTTCATCTTCTATCGATTATGATATATCCCATAGAAACGCCGAGAAAGTATGACGAATCCGGCTAAGGTACAGATAGTGCACGCACGTGCAATTTCCGACTAGAGCGCGGATTTCTTTCAAGGATACTCTCTCTCGAAACTCTCCTTTTTTGCCTCGGAGCAGAGATCTCCATTACGGGACGCGGTATCAGTCCTAGGGCCAAGCCGCGTCTTAGCTGATAAGCGCGGATGATCTTGAAAATAATTATATAAATAAATGACCCCCCTCGAGGTGGGATTTATCAGCTGGGCCGCAGCTGGCCGGACCAAGACCACCGATTTGCAGGTAAAAACTGCAATATCACCCGTAATTATAATCCGTAGCACCCCGAATGATAAGCACACGTCTTCCGACACTCGTTGCATCCTACGTGACGTGAGATAAATGAGAATACAGTCGAACCACTCGACGCGCACCATATCGGGCACGACGAATCTGCGCTCTAGCTAACGCATATCGTTACAATAATTACGATTGAACTAACAGTGTGTAGGTACCTTAAAGTAATGCCCATTTTTAAGTCACACTTGTGTATGTCCTCGCGTAAGACGCGCTGCACCGCACTGCACCGCGTTACTTGTGTACAGGAGCGAGTCGTGCCGACTGGGTGGCCGGGTGGATGGATATACACAGGATCTGACAGTATTCCTTTACAATAATTAATTCCACAGCATTCCTCGGTGAAAATGGAAGAGAAAAGTACTAAGCAGTTATCTTTCTACGATGCGTGGTTTGGGCGTAAAAATTCATTGAAAAACAGACTACCGGACGCGTCGATCAAGATCGATTCGGACTGACTTATGGAGAAAAAAAATGTTTAAAAAATGGTAAATATTGCGATATGAATTTCAACGCCACGGTTTACATTATTTGGACCTAGGACAGGGTGAATGGAGCCATTAGAATGTGTATTACAAGGTTTTATCATTTTTTTTTTCTTTTTTAAACGTGTCGAGCAGTCCGAATCGGCCTTAATCCACGCGCCCGGTTGGGCATTTTTTTTCAATTAATTATCACAGATAAATTACGTATCGTAGAAAGATATAGTATAAGACTTTTCGACTCCATTGTCAACAAGGATAGCGACGTGAAAACCTTGACCAGGAATTTTGTCACATCTTGCGTATACACGCAGAAACACACACACACACATAGACCCAAATAGCGAAATAGCTAGAGGACAGAAAATAAAAAACGGAGCTAGGGAGAAGAAAGGCGAGAGAGTATAGAATAAATGGAGGAGTGCAGGGCACGAAGAGAAAGAGGGAACAAAGAGTAATTAGTCCGGAACTAATGAGTTCCGCATTGTTGTGCGCGCTTTGTTGTATTTAAGGGGAGTTTGATAAATAAGGGGGACCCAGGGGGAGCGATTTGTCATTTAAGAGTTTAAATACTACGGAGGGGACACAATTGACATAGACAAGGCCTGATAACGAAAGGTGTCTTTACGTTACTTCTTTCCTTCCTCTCGTCTCGTTCTTTCTTTTCTACGGGGGATTAAGGCGGTACGAAAGTGGCAACTGAGGGGTGCAATCCTTCGGATGCGACTTTGACATTTCCTTAAAACGCGCACGAATCACCATAGAGAAGTTCATACTCCTACCTCAATTGTTAGCGTCATAGGACGTACTTTATCCGTACTTTATACATTTAACATACGTCTAAAATACGTATAAAATACGTCTCTTAACACTAACTGAGGTAATAATAAGAAATATAGGTGAATTATCGTTTCTACGTACGCACGATTAGTCAATGCGTTTTTATTACGGGGTTGCGATCGTCCTGGCGTATACCGTAGAGTATATAGATATATATTATATACCATATATTATATATATTATATATATTATATATGTAAATCCGCCATCCGTTGACCATGCTGGATCTGGGTTATACTGGTGCACGTAGGGCACATTTTGGGATCGCAATTGAACCCTCCTCTTGCGAGGAAAACGGTCTACGTACACCGAAACGTAATATTCTGTACATAATAATGTATATAGGCACAAGTGACTGTGAATCGCGAAGGCTCACACGACACACACATTATGACACACATCACACCGTTGTTCTAGCTCTCTCTGTTCTCGTCCTAATGCGCGCCTTTGTCGAAACGGATGCGATCGCTTAAAAAAGGAAGGAAGAAAGGGATGACGATTAAATGATAGGAACTGTTGAGATTTATTTTACGAGGAATTTACACGTGACGCGCATTCCTCTGTTGATGGGAGAGTGCGACGCGTAAACGGGGAGGAGAGAGAGAGAGGGAGATGGAAGAGGAGATTCGGTGCAATTGCAACAATTGTAGAATTGTATCGGTTGTCAGTCGAATATATAAAAAGCTGAAAGTATCAGAGAAATCGGCGGAAGTTTAACTTCTTAGTTATGGGATGTTTAGGATTTCTTCTTGAATTTTTTCTTGAATTTTTTCTTGAATTTTTTCCTTACCCACCCGTTCGTGAAATTCAATATTTGGCGTAATTATATCTCAATAATATTGTTCAGAGCATCATTGGACAAACATAAATGTAAATAGTAATTGGCTGGAGAGATTAAAGCAGGTCCTCTTCCTGGTACGGTACTCTCGGTTGACACCTGTGAGTCTAGTACCTTAACGTGAGAAAAACAGTAATGGCATTACTCCGATTTGTTGCGATTGCACCGGATTTTCTTATTTATACTCCGCAGGTGTGCACTCGACAGGTGCATATCCGGAGCTCGATAAAGTCTCATTGCACTGTATAGAGACCTGTAATTGTACATTGTATGCCGAAACGCGGAATTGTGGCATAGCTTCCTATCCGCTTCCCGAAGTGACCATTACCTTGGAGCGACCCATATATATGTATATGTATACACACATGTATGTGCCTATATGTATATCGTGCTGGGCTCGTCCCTCGATAGATACCTGTAATTAATCCGTAATCAAGTCGTGAGAGCGCTTCGTTTTTCTGTTGATAAGCCCATTGTCCGACCGTGCATCGCAAGGGTTTACTTCCTCTCGGAGAGTCGATCGATAGAGATCGATAGAGATCGATACTGGATCCATCACCTCCGAGAGTTTCTCTACCTCTCTTCTATCTCATTCCAGACTGTTCAAATCCGTCTGCGTTACATTTCATTGATAAGAATCCATGTGGGTGTTTACATACGTTCGTGCACAGCTCATAATTTAAATTTCGCGTAGAATTACGTGATACGGATTATTAGTTAATATTTAATTTATCATTACATTAGAATTTTCCTTGAATTAATTGCCGATGCGATATCAGAGAGACGGTGTAACTTTACCGCAATTTATGGTGGCAGTGGAAACACCGATTTAGGGTGTACATTTACGTGGGTACTTTTTTATTTCTTATCAGTCCAACCCACGACGTTATCGCTCAGGTCGAATTTCCTAGTTTCGCCGAGATGTATCTTTTTCACCGATCCTCATCGTCATTGTGCGTTTAGTTGGAGCGAGCCTGTGTCTATAGACTGTGTCAGAGGGAAAGTTAAAAAGTGTGTGCATGCGTATCCGATGCGTGAGTGCGTGAGGGAGGTCAGAGGTGACGGAGTCGAGGGAGAAGCGAAACGTGGGGAGGCGACGGGGACTTTAGCTTCTCCTCCTTAGATTTTAAATATGTGCAACGTATTTACGACGACGATCTTACCGACTCGTAGGATTAATAGCGAGTTGTTTCCCCGCTACAGACGCCAATGTATTTAATTCTCGATAATAAATAATATTATACGTTAAGGCGCGAGCACTCGCGTGATGGCGGTCACTCTTAATATCTCTTCATTTCATTAATATCAATCCGTATTGATTTAATAACGAGGGCTTCTTCTCTCGGGGCAGCATCTTGTCTATTACCTAAGTTAAAGATCATCCTTTATACGACTCACCTTAACGAGTTTTCCCACATTTTCCCGCCGATCTAGTCACACGGAGTCAGGCTTTGGATATACATTTTCCTTATTTATTTGATAATACATCATCTAAAAATTATCAAAAAATATCGGGTCAGTTTAGAAAAGGGCGAAGCTTATTTACGAGCTTCGATATCCTTGCACCACGTACCAATGGAGACGCGCAGAATTATTCCTAGAAGGCCCCACCATATTTTCGGAAGGGCAGCGCGAGACGCGTCTTATCATTCCGGAGCACTTTTATTCCTTTTTTTTCCTCCCGCTTCCTTGCAAACCCTTCCCTCCAAGATCTTGTCGTCTTGTCATAGTCGACTTTCCTCCTCGGATGTCGAGAAATGACCGACGCCTCGCTGAAACGACTCCTCGGACCGAGGATCGAATTAATCCTCAACGCCGGCTTCTACGGTCGCGCGGAGTACACTCGGAAACTCTCGGCTTATCCGTCAATCCTTAAGCTCGACGCGCGATTTAAAACGCGAGGCGTCGAGACGCTCCCTTAGACGCAAGAGAAACATAATATAATCTAATCGGTTCAACTAGTGTTAATAAAATCTGTAGGTAACGTAATAATATAAATGTACAATTAAACGGGTAATTGGCTCCGCGCGTTCCTCGACACCGAGCGGGGACGAGGGGAATTTCCTTTTATACGGTATCGCATATTCTTACACAACTAGAGAAGGGTCCTTCAGATATTCAAGTACTCGTTCAAACTGTAAGACTTTCAAGGCATTGGAATTAAAATTCTTAATCGAGGATTACTTAACGCGATTACCCTCAATATCGGGACTCGATCTCAAGTTGCAAAATCGTCAATTTGGCTCGTCGCAAACGGCCACCCTCGAAAAATACAGAGTGTAAATTCCCCAAAGAGACTTCCCCGTATGTAATCATTCCTGTACATACAAATCTTAACGAAATAATTTTCAAGGCCCGAAACAAACCCATCACCCCAAGTCGAGATGGCCATTACCGATATTCCACCATACCCTCCAGAGGCTGACAAAGGGTAAATATATATATATCAACGATTTCCCGTACAAACATGCGATACCGTATTAATTTTAATAACATTCTCGAGGAGGCACCTAGACCAGGCTCCGGTCCAAGGGCCTGAGAAGATCGGCGGTCTCAAGGAGGCCCGGGTTGAACGGTCCCACGTCGAACTCGAAGTTGTCAAAAGACAAGGTCGTGGAGTCCAGGGTCCTCGACTCGGCCTTTAGGAAGAGTTTCCTGTTGGTAGCCAGGGAGTTGACGAGCTGTTTCCGGGTGTCCGGGCTGAGGTGGTCCAGCGAAACGTCACCCGGCCACGTGGGCGGGTCACGTGACTGGCCACGTGACTGACCGCGTGGCTGACCACGTGGCTGACCACGTGACTCCTCGAGAGCTACGCTCAATGGCGACAGCGGGCTTCGCCATGAGGACGCCAGCCGGATATGTGGATCAGGGACGACGTTCTGCAGATCAAAAGGAAGGACTATTAAAAGACGAAGCCAGGGGACAATTGCGACATTCTCAGAGCGTCCTAATGCATGCGTATCTCCGTGCTCGCGGTGGATATCGACCCCGAGATATGTGACTATCGACTTTTTCAGGGTTTGCTACTGCGTTTCGGGGGGATTCGTTTAATCGGGAGGAAGGAGCCGATACTTTCTCTGGATAAGGAGCCTTAGGGAGAACTCCCAGGTTGATGTGCATGGAATTGAGAGCGAAAGTTAGAACAATTGGGAGGAATAAGGTGATACGAGAGGAGGTCTCGTTTGTGAGAGTTCTCTGCGAGCTAGGGATACAGAATCGTTTGAAAGCTCTGCGACGCGAATGCGGAGGCTTTTAAATCATTATATCAGTTAAGGATGTAAGATTGCACGTCGTATCGATTTAAGGATGTTCATTGAGAAAATAATTAAAAAGCGGGCTGTGATATAGGTACAGTGGCGGAGATGAATGCCTTTCCCTCGTCATGGAGCGCCACGTCTGCGGGGAAGACATTCGCGTCCCCTCCTGTACATGACGTAGACCCTCGGAAAGGAAGATTAATTTTCTAAATCGCGACTTTACAAACTGTAGCTCCGTGTCGAGTATTTTTTAGGGACTGCCGACTGTTTCCCAGCTCATTTTTATTTCCTTCCTGCCGACCTACGGAGAGACGATTTCTCTCGGTCGGAAAGTGGGTCCCCCCTCGAGGTCGTCACAAAGAGACGCAGGTCGAGGTCTCGTCCGCACGGGATTAGAAATAATTTACTTTGGAAATTGGCCGCGACCGACAGGGTTATTGATAGACACGTTTCGCGAACGCGAAGCTAGTGATCCACTTCTAGATCGTCGATCGATCGTTAATCGCTTTAAGGCGATATTAAGGTGGCATCGAAGAGACCTCGTTTATGAAACTCCTCCGAATAGTTTGTTTCATTTTCAATTTCTTAAAAATTTCTTTACCGAGATTAGAAAAATTTCTCAACATTGTAGACCGATCGAAGGATCGCAATTTTATGGGAGAAAAGTTTCCTGAGATATTTCCGTCCGAGAGGAGAAGGTCCGTCACCTTGTGGAGTGTCGGTCCGAGGTTCGGCTAAGGAAAGAAAACGGCAAAAGAAGTGGTGAAAGAGGGATCCCGAATTACGAGCGGAGGGATAGAAACGCAGTAGAGAATGGGCGAGTGGTCGGTGATCATCTTCAGTATATTTCCTTAATATTTAAATCAACAATTTCATATACTTCTGTCATTATGTACACAACGTGAGACACTAGAGAGCGGAGCTGTCAGTCTCGGTTCCTCGCACCCCGGCACGGCCAGGGTTCGCCTCGCGTTCGGTGTCACACCTCCCTCGTCCACCACCTCCTCGAGCACTAGAATTCGCCGGCACCCGGTAAATCTACCCCTACCGCATGCACGTCCCCTTCAAGACCTCCCACTCTCCCATCTTTCGTCCCCAGATCGGTCTTGGTCTTTCCCAGGTTGCAGAAGGTCTCGCGTAGTCTCGGAACAACTTCAAGAAGACCAAGAGCAAGTCTCGACCATGATTGCAATAGGTTTCGGGTCCCGCCTCGTCTACGAGAGCAAAGATACCGGGACCAACCCCCAAGTCCCTGCCAAGGAGATCTCGCGATCCTAACCCCGATCCGAACGACCGCGTGCAAATCATTCGTCCCCCAGGCTCCCAGGACGGACATTACGACCTACCCCAGGGAGCGGGATATCCCGGGTCGCGGAGGAGCCTTCCGCGAGGATGCGCGGAGAACCAGGAAGGCTCCATCTCGCCCTCCCGGGTGTTTACTTCCCTCTCCCTCGGGAACGAGCAACAATCGCGAAGAGGAGTCCCCGTTCACTTGCTCGCGACGCTCTGAGAGGGCTTCGGCTTCACCAGGCACACGTAGCCAGCACTCACGTCGCAGCCGGACACCAGGAGGTTCATGAGAACGCTGCTGGACTGCTGGGAGGGCGAGGGCGAGGTCGGTTGCGCAGTGGAGGCCTTCGCGGGTGGTGGACCGTCCTCGAGGCCGCCCCCGCCCTCCCCTCCACCCTCGTCGTCCTTGGGCCCTAACCGGGAGCGCGACTTGGGGACCTGCTGCGACATCAGCTGCTGCAGGAGTTGACTGCCCCGAGGCAGCGACAGCGACTCGGTCTGCTGCTCCTCCTGGCAAGGCGTCCCCGGATCCTTGGGGCTCCTGCGAGCCGCCACCTCCTCGCACCGGATCCTCTTGTTCTCGTTTTCAGGGTTCGTCGAGGCGGCGTGGACCCGTTTGTTCGACCGGTCGCCTCCTCGGGGTTGGTCTGCCTTCTTCTCCGGCCAGGACCTCTCCCCGGGACCTACAAAAGCGACGGGAACAAAGGACGTGAGTCTCCATTCCGGTAGAGTTCTCTCTAGGAGTCTAAAATGTCAGAATAAAAGGATGGCTTAACGGGCCCTCCTCTTCCTCGGGGTGGGAGTCACCCTGGCGATAAATCGCTTCCACCTTGTCTATATATATTTATGTTACAGTGAAACACCGAAATCTGAAGAATGTCGACTTTCACCGGTGAATTTCAACATTCACATAGTCGCTTAGTGTATGTCCGAAATATTTGCTAAATACCCTTATTTCTAACTTACACCGGTAAATGTTGACATACACTGGAGAGGGTCCGAATGTACAACAATGTAATGAAATATTCGATCTTTCACCGACGTATTTGGTATCTGTTGACATTCACCGGTGAAAGTCGACATTCTCCAATTTCGGTCATTCACGGTAACATATACACATAAGGATCTCTGAATCTCGATAAGTAGAACAGGAACAATACTCTACTCTTTCTGTAGACCTGGTCGAGGACTTGGGCAGGGTCGACGAGCCCTCCGCCATGGTCGTTGTACTTCCTGGTCTCGGAATCCGACCTGAGCAGCTGCGCCAGGCTGGAGTCGGTCCCCCGGGTTCCTTTACTCGGGTGATCCCTGAAACTATTCAGGAATCTGTTACGCTTTCTATTCTTTCCTTTAACGGGGTAACCGGGGTCCAGGATGGCGTACCACTTGGACCTCTTGTCTTCGGGCTGGGACGGACCCCACATGACCATGTCGTCGCTGATCAGGAGCTGAAGAGTCTCGTCCTGGTCGGACATCGGGATGTAGGGCGCCCTTAGGGCCAGCTCGTCGTCCGCCATCACGTCCCCGATGCTGAGGTAGAGCATCTCGTCCTCGGAGAGGCCTTCGCCGCTGTCGTTAGGGCTGCAAAGCGAGTCCACGCTTCGCTCCGGACTCTGGCGAACGGAAGTCAAGTAATTGAATGAAAGGTCCTTAAGGGCGAGAAGAAGGGAATTTCCGCGGCAAGATTTTCACTCGCTATCTACCAAATGAGTAGCAGGAATGGAGATTAAGAGAAACGACGAGATGATAGGAACCTAAGAGGGTACCGAGCGAAGAAAAAAAGAAATCACATTGCGGAAGAAAGGGAATCTCCGCGACCGGTATCTCGTTACATGCCATTGAGTAAAATAAAAAAACGAGGAATGGAAACGAATAGAAGCAACATTTAAGAATTCCCGAGGGAAAAGAGTCGCCTCCCAGAAGGCAATATCCTCCGACGAGATTTCTTACACGCTTTTACAAGACCTTCTTTACTCTGACTTCACCTAAATAGAAATTCAATATTTCGCTAAGCGCGCCTCTTCGGTTCCGATCTTCGGGAGTCCTTGATACCTTGCTGAGAGCCAGCGACAGGAGATCCGGACTCAGGCTGCAGGGACTGCAGGAGTCCCTGTAGATGAAGGGATCGCCATCGGCGACGGTACCGCCGAGTCGATCCCCGGGCACGTTTCCGCAGTCGGCGCAGTCCCCAGGGTCGGAGTCCTTCAAGGACTCGCCCAGGTCGGAGGTGCGCAATTCCGTCGAGAGGCCCGGGCTCAGGAGAGGGCAGTAGTTCTCGTTCCCGAGCATGAACTCGTCCAGCATGTCCGAGAGGAAGGGCGGATCCTCCAGGGGGACGCAGACGTCGCCGGCCGTGGGGGCCAGGTGAGTAAGATCCTCCGGCTCGTCCTTGAGCACTGCAAGTACAATTACACCGGGCTTAATGTACTCGTTCGAAGGAGGGTCTTATCCTATTATCCCACCCCGAGGGAACCCCCGGGTGATACCCACTGGTCAGGCCTGGTTGGTCCTCGCTGAAGGTGAGGAAACCCTTGTTCATGTCCTCGGTGCGAGGGGCGAAGATGGTGGCCGTCGCGGTCTGAGGTGGAGGTCTGCTGGGTTGTTCCTGGATAGGAGTCGGGACGAACAGACTCCTGGTGACCGCCTGGGGCCGAGAACGATGCACCGCAGGGTCGTACTCCAGGACGGGTTTGCCCTGAAGAAGAGCGAAAGAGCGACCGTCAGTCTCCGGATCCCAAATCTGTAAATTCGCTCCGACTACCCTCGTAACGATAAATCGCGCCGATTTGTGACCCGCGCAGTTAAGATTATTTCTTTCACCACTCTGAACGTCGAAAAAAATATCACATTTTTTTTCAGGCAAAAGTACGAGCTGAAATTTACATTTTACCATTATTGAGGTACGGACGATGGCCACGTGTTCGCTGAATATAGTGCTACAATTTGAACCCGATCCTGCACCTGCGCCAGGTGCAAATAATTTTCTTTTTACTACTCTACGTTTCTAATAACAAAAATAAATATGTATTTTTTTCTTCTACTAAGAAAGAATAATTTTCCTGTATTCTCTTACATTAGACCTATCATGGAAAGGAAAAAAGTTTGTGCCATTACATGCAGTACTTTTGAGGGGGGGAAAAAAGGAGGAAAAACGATTTATCGTTACTCTTAAGACCCGAAGAGTATCCCGGCCCACCTGGAAGAGGAAGTCCTTGGCGCGCTTCGGCGCCGCTTCGGCCAGTTCCTCGAGGCGGTCCCTTGTTTGCCGTTCCTCTTCCGGCTTCTTCGAGGCCTCGGTCCTGCAGAAGATCTCCCTGGTGACGGGGACCGGCCCAGGGAAGGCCTCCTCGGCCAACTCCGGGACCTCTTCCTGGACCTCCTCCTGGCCGAAGAGCAAGCTCGCGGTCGCCGCCTGCTCCAGGATAAGCGGATCGCCGACCTCCGGAGGCTGGGCCTCGATCGGGGGCAGGAGCGACGGCTCCGTCGGCAGGAGCTCCGGCAGGGAACACCCGTTCAGGTTGGTCGCCAGGACGGTCGGCTCCTTCGGGGACCCCGGACAGGAGCGGGCCTCCAGCTGACAGGAGCTGTACACCTCATCTTCTCGCTCGACCCCGCTGAAACGGAACGACAGAATGCTCATCCCTGCCCCCTCGGCGACCTCGTGGGACTTCGGCCAATTTTCACCATTTTTCCCGTCCGGGAAAATGACACTCCACCGGTGGAAAACTAATAAGGTCGATCCTCGAACGCGAAGACCTCCGAGATGGGGACACTTTAAATCTTTGAGGACGGAGCTCTTTCGACATATGGGCGAAATTCATTAAGACGTACAGGCAATATTGGACCAAACGTCGGACGCATATATGCGGCGGTAGCCCGCAAAGGGTTGACACTATTTCTACCAGGATTTTGTGTATACCTATGTCGTTTTTTTTTTTAACCCTTTAACTACTAAGAGCGCCTAAAGACGGCCGACGTTTGGTCCAATATTGCCTGCACGGTCAGACGAGTTTCGCCCGTATGTCGAAATGGCTCCGTGTTCAAAGGGTTTTAACAGTTCTGGTTTTTGTAAAAAGAAATGGCACAAACATCTACATGACAGAACATCCAAATAAGCCTGTTCATTTGTTTTGTGCCTCAAATTGGATTCCAGGTTCACAGAGCCCCACGGGAGGCACTTCGTCGGTAGCCCTCGAAAGCTCGGAATCTCCGCGTTTCTTTTTTTTCTTTCTCCTCCTCTTCTTCTTTTTTCTTTCTTACTCTTTCCCCGCGAAATTAGAATCTTTCCCTCGTAAAAAACGGAGGGCCATTTAACGTTCCGGCTTTTACGAGTCCAGGAGCTGCGGAGGATCCTTGAGAGAGCGGCCGCCACTAGCGGGTCGTCAATGTCCATTAAGTTCATAAAATAAATGCATAAATACACAAATAACATTTTCTTCTTTTTTTTTTTTAACCTCAGAGACGATCTCCCTTGCTAGTGCCTCTTACATTAAACGCGTACGGCGCGGCCTGTAATATTTCGACCCTTGTTGAAATTTAAAAAAAAAAAAAAACTTCTTAATGAAAGTAACGATCCTTGCGCACCATACCTCGTGGGCTGGTAAATCGAGTTAATTTAAAAAAAAAGATAGTAATACGCGTTATCTATTGGGCTGACCACAAGGTCTTTCGATACCAACCGCGCAATTATAAGATTAATGTTCACCCATCGAGTTACACCATAAGTAGATTTCCATATTTCAAAATTAAAAGAAAATGTTCTCCTCTCAAATTAATTTTTTTCTTTTTTTAATTGTCTACAATGAACGCCGATAATACGAATATTCGCAAAAAGCTTTCTAGCCAGACCAATAAATCAATGAGCGGTATATAATAAAAGGTAATGATAAAGATAAGGGCCAAGCATAATTTCCGCGGTTCCTCGATCTCGTATCGGACATCGGTGCACTGTCGCTCTTATCACTCGCTATCACCGCGGCTCGGCCGTGATAAATAATGCGAAGACGAGCAAACGTTGAAAATTCTAGACTCGGGAGATCGAGAAATGCGAGAATTGCGATAATTGCAAGAATCACGAGGTGACCGGCGAAAGGAGATTCGCGGGTCAAGGGTCACTATCGCTCGTTATCATTTTCTCTGTCTGCATTCCACGATTTAGCAGGGAAAAAAATAGAGAGAAAAAAACAAATCACGGGCGTGGATTCCTCGACCACGTGGAGTACTCGCGAAGCGTGCCGACGACTATACAAAAAGAAAGAGAAAAACTATGCCAATGATAAAAGAATGACCGATAACGACTAATAATAGATGTCGCGACTCGCGGAAAGTTTGCGCGTCGTTGAAACAATTACTAACGAAAGGATAATAAAAATAAAGTGGCCGATAAAGAATTTAATCTCGCCAATTTTCACCCATTAAACTTGAGTAATCATTTCTGTAATTTCATTGTCAATTGGTTTCTTTTTTTTTTTTTTCCTTTCTCCCAAGTGTCTTAAGTTTGCACGTTAAGAAGTGAGGACGTAACCGAGAAGTGAAGAAATGAAATTTTCTACACTTATAGCTAATTGTTCAATATGTTCGATATCGAGAGAATTGCCTATCGTCAGTCCGTTGTTAACTTAATGTCGACGTTAATAATGTATAAAATAATCGTCGATATTTAATATGAAATAGAAATAGAAAATACGTCTCCACGGCGAGGTGAGAAGGGTTTAATATTTGCACCTGCATTGGGAATTGTTTTTTTAATGCAATTATTCTATTATTCCTACAATTGTTATCCCCAGAGGATCATTCCTTCTCGAGAAGTCTAGATCGTCCCAAGAGGACGAAAGCAGAAATTAATATCGTCGCGACGCGATTTCCCTTAACTGGAGCAACTCTTTCCCGCGATAACACTTATCAGGACTATGCGCGACGAGGGAGGAAAAATTTCAAGGTCGCTTCGGAAAATGGGTCAATGTGACCGAAAAGAGGGGGGTGCGATTTAAAGGGAAGGCCTTTTGGGGAGGATACGAAAGGATTCGTCATAAAGTCGGCTTTAAAATGTCGAGTCGGGGTTTAAAGGGCTTAAAGGGTTTAAAGAGGGCGACGTCGGTCGACATTCGACGTCGCTCTCGCTCGGCCATGTTAACTGACTTTAACCGGTCGCAACGACTCGGTAATTGTGTCAAATTGACTAGCGGGGCCCGTGGACGTGCACGACGGAACCTCGGCTCCGACTTGTCAAGACTCTGGGAGATATTCCTCCAGGGCGGATATATTTTCAATTCGGAAGATTCTCACGAGGGAAGTCTATAAATTTGCCCTCCAAAGGTCCAGCTAGGCTGCCGCTTGCCAAACATTAATTTTCTAGTCAGTCTTCATACATAATTCTGGACGACGGGAAATCAGAATTAATAATCAATGAATTAACACTATTTCTACCAAAGGTGTCGAAAGACACCTTTTAAAATTTTAACTCGAAATTTGCAGTTTAATAATTTTTTTCTCAATTAATGTTTTCAGTTTTCCTATAATAATTGTTAAATTTATTTAGCGGTATGATTTTCCTCCAGCTCGTCGAAACCTTTTGGTCGAAATAGGTATACACAAAATCGTGGTGGAAATAATGTTAAAGGACGCGGTTAGCCAATCATCGCATCCCATAGATTCCCTTGCAATTATTTTCTCCCCTTGACCCTCCATTTTAATTGCTCGAAAATTCACAAAAATCAAATCTAACAAAAATATCAAAACACTGTCTTGTAGAGCAAAAGTTTCTCTTTAAAATAACACATAACATTATGTTATAAACATTTAATTCCTGCGCGAATTTTTATATTTGAAAAAATGCGCAATGACTTATGCATCAAGCCAATATGTCACTATCGTTATACAATCGGGGATTATTGCACTTAGGAGGAAATAAAATCCCCTCTATCCAGATAAATCTAACCTAAATCATATCAATCCCAGGAGAGAACGATCCGATTGAAATCGCGTCCCTTCGATCCATGTTGGATTTTCGCCATCTATTAAATTCTCTCGGACTCGTTGTTTAAACAACGCCATCGTTAAGATACCCTTCATTAAGGGCTTCGTAAAAGAGACCTCAAAAAATTGACAATTCGAACCGTGAAAAAATCTGGAAAAAATACAATCGGTCCTTCGGAAGTTCCTAATTTCGTCCGGCGATCAACGCGTGCGTGCACGCGTGTTATCTCCTGCCCGTGACAAATAAAAAGAGAGGTTAGGGCAGGTTAAATATGTAACGGGTGTCGCCTAAAATAGAGTGACGGCCAACCGAGGCTCCTTGCGCAACCGAGCACGTGGATCTCCTTTGCCCTTCCTCCACGGACCGCCTTATCTTTTATCATTTTCTTCTTCTACATCTCCGATAATTCAATCCCCCATGGTAATCACTGGTAATCGTATCCTTTATTGAATTTCGGAATTTTACCCGGCGCCGCGAGATCCGCTGCTCGTACATAAGGCTTATCTACGTCTATCGCTGTTATCTACGCCGACATTTCCACGGCTTTTCCATATCACACGCGTGTGTCTTTGCAGTATTTTGGTTAAAAATCGGGCCTCGGGTTTGCGACCACGGAGCTCTCGCGTGGCTTAATGTACACGACACTTAGGCGTTAAAGGAATCACGCATCTCGCCGATTATCATCGGCACGAGGGATTGCGTAATTCCACGCACACACGTACAAGTAACTCCGATGTACAGTGGAGCACGTGAATGCCATCCTCATGAGTACGATAAGGACAATGTAAGAAGGAAAGGCATTCGTGTCTGCCAGTGTACCGTGATAGACCGTACCAACTCGTAATTCAGCATTTTATTCACTTCCTTTTTTTTTTTTTCTAGCCCGATAAAAATCACCCACAAGATAATGTGACGTTGCAGCCAGACATTCATGAATCGAGTAAACCCTTACATTACAAATAATCATGTGCCAAGGTACAACTATTTAATCCCGATAAACAAAAAAAAAATAATAATAAGGAATTTCACGGCCTTTTTTTTTCCTTATTACGTTAGAAATACTCACAGATATTTTCTTCAATGTATATATATATATATATATTGAATCTTTCCTAATAATGAAAAATTGTCTCCACGGATAAGCCCGCGTGTCGTGACGCATTACGCACGCGCGTAGCCCACGTGCTTATATAACCGATTGACTGGTGCGTAGCGCATGCGCGTAAGCTCACCTCGACTTTTCCGGGACTCTGAATCTCGGCTCGAAAGCTTCAATGAACTCGTGCGTACAACCGAACAGCTGATCGGGAAATTCCCACCAGGACGAATTAGTCGATCCTTGCCATTGACAAATCGAGGACTCGTAAATGTTAGAATGGAAAATTCGGATAGAAAGAATTATCAACAGGAAAAAGTGGCAGATTAGAAATAAAATTCGAAGTAAGCAAAAAAAATAAGATTAGTCACGATGAAAATTCGTAAATGGAGAATACGCAGAATTTGGGGAGCCCGGTTATGAAATAAAAATATTCCTATGGGAACGACTGGCAAGGATGAAAATTTCGTCGAGTACAGTTTATCGGGTCTTTTGGCAGATATGCGAATATTGATATATAATGATAATTAGAGGTCGGGGAA